ATTACTTATATGTACATATGAAACTGGTTTACAAACGTATATTATGTACTTAAGTTTTAAACCACAAAATGATTTAATTTTTTCAAACCTCAATGGCATGCATTGGATGTGTTGAGCTCGTCTACCGCTTAACGTCACTGTGAAATTACGTCAATCGTTTATGACTGAACATTGAATTTAAGGTCAAGATCTAGTAAATGAAAGGTGCCTACAGATTTTTCAAATTTGAGAAAAGGGTTCTTTTAATGACACTTTACGAATATAGCTTGGTGAAATAAGGTGTTTCCGGACATAATTTTTTGATAAACTTGATGAAAAACACATTTTAAACAGTAATTTTTATTGAAAAACAAAGAAAGTCAGGTATAAATTTCGGAGTTTTTTTTTATCACAGTTAAAAAAATAGTAGCAATATTGCCTACAGTCTCTCAGAAAACGGTTTTTCATATTTTCTAAACCTCTACTTCAAAATGATATGTAATTGAGTATAGATATCGGGGTTATTTTTGACAGGATTTCAGATTGAATACAATGAAAATGCTTTATTTTCTATATAATTTCTACACAACTGTAAAGTACGGGAAAAATTAAGCTTTAATCAATTATGACGTCATAATGGATCTAGCACCAAGATGACAGTCTAAAGCCATTTACTAGATCTTGACCTTAAGGATACGTGACAAACCTGATTTTACACAGAATTAAATACACCTTGCTTAGATACTCTTATAGGAGGGGAAAAATTTTACATATGTAATTATAGAGGACTCACGGCGGTTGTGATCGGTCGACAGGGGATGTTTACTTCTCCTGATACGACCATTGGAATTTCCGGGGGTTCGTGTCTTGTGACCTGTTCACAGATTTGTATTGTTTGTATCGATTTTTTTTTTAGATCGAATACTGTTCGTTATCTTCACCTTTTTAATTTATTCAACTTTGAATGAATTTTTGAAATTTAGACTTCTGCTAGAAACGTCAAATATTATACTGAACGTTTGGCAATGGAAGTAAGGATGCATATTTAGAAGTTTTAAGGATTCTAAATATATTTTTCATGCTTAAACGTTAATTCTTCATCGGTATTCTTTTCAGAAGTTGTTGTTACCCAGTGTTAACATTTTTAATGGACTGGTTTTGTTTGTTCGTTTGTATGTTGTTTAACGTCTCTCTCGAGAATTTTTCACTCATATGGAGACGCCACCACTTGCCAGTGGAGGGCTGCAAATTCTAACCTATGCTCGGCACTCAGGGCCTTTGAAAAGTGAGGGATCTTTTTCGTGCCAACACCTACTGCGACACAGGACCTCGGTTTATACAGTCTCATCCGAAGGACTGGACTCCACGTCCCGCAACGTAAGAATCAACTCCTTTCTCCAAGACTCCAGAGCAGACGCTTTAACCACTGCGCCACGCGGACGACTAACGGTCTGATAATTACGCACCGGATACGTGAAATATATGGAGATAACGAACAGTATTCAAGCTCAAAAGTCCATTATACAATACAAAATAGGAGCAGAGCAAACATGGACCTCCAAACATCAGAGGTGGGATCAGGTGCCATGGAGGAGTGAGCATCCCTTGCCGACCGGTCACGCCCGCCGTGTGCTCCTTGTCATGATCGGGAAATAACGGAAAAACCCGTCGACAATTCAGTGTGTAAATAATGGTCTAACAATTAGTATGAAAAACGTCAGTCAGCATTTGACTCAATGATAAATTGTATTTGCTGACAAGGTCTTAGAATCGACCATAGAACTTACGAAATGATGACTTTAACACGAATTTTCCATTTCCTAAAAATAAGTCATGAAAAACCGTAGTATCCCATTTCACTTCTGAAGTGTAAAAACTACATTTTATACAGCCACAAAATTTTTGATATCAGTATATATTATATTAAATAATCTAAAACATTCAAAGAATTTTTCTTAGATTTTACAAGAGCTTTTACAGCATTTCTGAAAAGCTTTATCAATGTGATGTAACAATTTTTAAGGGGTTTTTTGATAAATAAAAACAAAATGAATACTGTTTAGATTTTAGATTTAAAACACAACAGATACTTTCTACTATATGATCCATTACTATCTTTTTTTGGACCGTCTGAGTTTAAAATACCATATGAAGGAGGGTAAATGAATCATATTATATACCCTAAACTCTACATACATGCATACATACACAATCCACATACACTAAAATAAGCAAAAACTTACCATATATTAGGCATACTTCGCCATGAAGTCAATGTCACACCTATCTCTGGCTCCCCCTGTTAGCCTCAATAAACAAATTTATTTTTGAAGTTATATTTAATGTTCATGTCATCAATTTTGTGATTGTGTCCACTCTTATTAAGGACGATTTTATTACTATTAAAAAAACCACATTCTTTCTAGGAAATGTTGATTTCCTAAGATGTTAAGATCCTAACAAGTCAAGCCTTCATAGTTTTATGTAATCTAGCATATGGAAATCATTTCTGAATTTTCCTCCCTTTGTAATGACACTTAATTCATTCTGTGTTATTGAAATTGAAAATCACAAGGCGTTGATAGTTAAGAATAGGCAGGATGTCCCACTGATCGAGCTTGACCCCTGTCTTTTCCGCAATAAGTACAAAACTTCTTTCAGCTTCTGGTCCTGGTGTTCTGACCAATTAACCGAATTTTGCTTTTTTTTGGGAGCACTGGTGTAGAAATTAGCCATACTTACATACATACTTGCTGGCAAACTCGTTTCACTCCTTCAACTAGTCTCCAGTTTAGTAGTATGTTTCTCAAGCTTTGACACATTTTTCCATATCAGTGTCATTGTTTATTATAAGCCCATCTACTTTGCCTGATAGCTGCTCCGTGATATTAAAAAACCTTCATTGTGCTGTTCTTACTTTGACTTCATCTCTTCCTAGATCTCAGATTTTATATCTTTCAAAATATTTACTTTAAAATGTCTCAGCTACTCGTGTAGTTTCATCTTCTAAAGATAACATATTCAAGGAAAATTTGTTCTAACAAATAAAATTCGTTGAAACAAATTCGATAAATTCATTATATGGAATTCAAAAATATTTTTGATAAGTCCTAATATTTTAAAGTAATGGAAGCATTCATGTGGGACAGACTATAATTTTTGAATTCGTTAGCATATTTAAAAAAAATACTATATTGACTTGATTTGAATTAATAAATTTCTGAATTCATAATACTGTAGATTCCTTATTTTACGCGAGTACTTAATATCGCGAGAAGGCCCCAGGGCGTCAAATCGCGAGAACAATAATTTGCGAATGGGTTATTTATCTAGAGATTTTACATGCATTAAAGCACCATAAAAATAAAAGCGAGTAATTTTATTTCGCGAGTGGTGCTTCTCGAGTAATTACGCGTTAATTTATTCCTCGCGTACATTTAGGAATCCCCAGTATCATATTCGTCAATATGTATTTACGGATTTATATAATCTTTTAATATAAATTTCTATCGAAGTTGTGTTAAAAGTTGCAGACTGCAAATTTTGAGAGAACAGATTCAAAATTTATATTAGAATTATCGGATTTGTGAAAACAATTAAATTGATATTTTTAAGTGTTTACTTTGTTCTCATGGAATTTACAATCTGGAATCACATATCGAAAAGCTTAATTAAACAAAATATGAATGAATTGAATTATTTAAAATATGAATCCTGAAAATGGTAATTAGTTTGATTTAATTGCGATATAATGAATTCAACAATTTTGTTTTAACAAATTGATTTCATTTAACAAATAAAAACTTAAAATTTGTAATTACTAACAAATATCGTTCAAACGAATTTGACTATGTGGCATATAGAATTCAGATTATTAATAATCTTAGATGAGCTTCCGTACAATTTATGAATCAGATATTATAGGACAGCGAGTTATGTTAGTGAGCATTTGATTTGATTGTTTTTTTATGACTGTTATAAAGTTAATATACGAATGGTGATTTACATAAAATCGTGAATTTTCAATGAACTTTACTCGTACAGCGACCGATCAGACGTCCAATTTCTGACACTGACCACTTTTAGTATTGTTCATGGACAAAAACCACATTGTTGCCTTTAAATCTGTTATTTGTCATCATCAGCTAAAGGTTAAAGACTTATATCCCGAACAACATAAGTCATTTTGTCCATCTTTTCCATATCAATTTTTATGCTCACTGCAACATTATTTGTTAAGGTCTTTCATATTCCCATGGCAAGTAATTACTTTCTGGGATATTGCAAGCGGCTAAACAACAGGAAAAAATCTTTAACCTCTTGTCCTTTAGATTCAGACAAGGAAGAGAAAGAAAGAAAACGAACCTATATCTAAATCAGATGTTGGTTGAGAGATTTTCTTCACCCCAACCCCTCCCCCACAAAAGCCCCATTTCAAAAATAAAAATAAAAAAGTACATCAAATAAAAAAAATTAAATTGACGCCTCATAATCCCGAGGTTGAACTACGGTAAGCTTGATAAAACTGCAGTGAAAAACGGTTTTAAATTCTACACTTGCATTCATAATAAAATATACATGTAATAAAATCATATATTTTTTTTTCTGAGAAAGACCACAATGCAGTCAAATACAGAGGAAATACCAGATTGAATAATCTTTGTCTTTTCATCCGTTCTCTTTTATTTTGTTTTATCTTAATAAGGAAAATAATGCAACAATTTGTGAAATGACATCCACTGATAATAAATTGTTATTGTTGTAGGCGCCATAACCTCCCTTAGAACATTGCTGTCTTCATGTTCTGGTGTCTGGTGTCCATAATTGTTTAAATACATAAACATTATTTAATTTTATATAAATTATCTGGAGTTGATATACAGATGTTTTATGAAAATATTCATTCCTAATTACTTTAATCAGTAATATTTAGGTTACGCATTTGTGTTTGTCTATTTAGAGTGTAATATCGCTAAAGTATTATCAGCTTCACATTTACATTGCAGCTTTCTTTGGAAAAAGATCAAGTTTTTACTATACTGGAATCTCATGCTGTGTCACTGTCCTGTCAGATGGAACATGCTGAAGATACTGATGTCACACTAAACACCGCTTTTCACAATTTGACCTAGCGAAATAAGTATATGATAGTTGACATCGGCGGTAAGTTTTATAAATAATAATTTTTTAAGTGATATGAGCTGGATTTTTGAGAATTTCATTTTGCTGTTAAAATTTGCTATTTTCATAATTTGTTTTATGTAATTTGAGCCTTTTTGATCAATCTGACTTAAATAAAGTATTAATTTTTTCAGAAGAAAAACTTCTTTACAATCAAATATATAGTAATGTATAAGGAATCAGTATTGTAAAGGACGACGATAATGTAACTCTGCTTCAACCAAAGCTTAAAGATTGTTCCTCCATCGCAAATATGAACAACAGAAGTTTATAAACGTTCTTTTTCCCTGTCATTGAAATCGCTATTTACAATTTTGCAACAAAAAATTCGACACCAAAGTAGCAGCTCATATTGTTTTAAATATTCGTATGACAAAGTTTTTTGTTCAATTCAGGGAAATCTCTATTTATTTGCATGGTTTTAATCTTTAAAAAAACCCAAATTACTATAGAATATTACTATCTATTCCATAGAGTACATAAATATGATCACACCTTCCGTCACTAGTATAACGTAAGTTTATCATCATGGATAACTTTTACGTATCTTTATTGAGGATTTCTGACTGTTCCCTTTAGAAAAAAAAAACCAATGTAGATACAAAAGTATTAATATATATCACCATAAATAGTCTTTTTCGATAGTTATCAAATTGGCATTTGCTTTTTGAAGGAGAAACAACGGATATCACAGTGCATTCGAGAACAAATTTGGGAAAAGGTTTAGACGAGGTTGTTTTTCAATATACAGGCCCCGGAGGAGGCAACAATGTCAACCAAAAATTCATAGATATTCTAAGAAGAAAATACAGTAGGTATTTCGAACAGTCTAGGAATACTGATACCTTCAAGCATTTAATAAATCAGTTCCAGTCTTCCATACGAATGCCAGATACCCAGATGATACAACTCCACGCTCCAGGAATGAGTCAGGAAATGATTATAAACACTGAAGAACTTGACAGCCTTTTTGATGAACCAATTAAGCAGATACATCAAAATTTGAAGGTAGTTTTCAATAAGGAGAAGGTCGATGTAGTAATTTTGGTGGGCGGATTTGCAGAATGATCAGAATTCAGTCTGCAATTAAAGACTTTTTTTAAGGATAAAACTGTCCTTATACCCAAAGAACCCGGACTTTTCATGCTTAAAGGTGGTGTTTTCCATTTAAAGCAGTTGGTAAACGAATCCTTGGAGACTTACGAAGTGACGATATAAAATAAACAGTGAAATATTTGAAACAGCTTTACTTTCATAAGTGTAATATTACTTTGTATTGTCAAGTTTTATTTTAGATGTATTTACTTATCTTTTTCAAATTGATATATCATTTTAATTTCTCATTGCAAGCATGTTTCTTGTGGCTTTTAAATGAAATTCAGAAAGCAGTTCGTTTTTCTATTAATTACAGTCTGGCATTCTTTTAATTTATGTTTTACTTGAAACATGTTGTTTGTGCAAAAAAAAAAAAAAAAACACTTTTAAATTATGTCCTCTAAATTATATCCTCATTAGAAGAATACAAATTTGTTTTTACACTTATTTTGATTTTTTTTCCGTTTACCCGATTGGTATATACAATATAGAGGGCTCACAGTGGATGTGACGGGTCGACAGGGAATGCTTTTTTAGACGGGATGATGTGACCCCGACTATTAGTTTTCTTCGTAAGCATCTGATCCCAACTCCGGTGTTTTCTGGGGTCCTCCTGCTTTTTTTGTTCAGAATTCATATTGTTTTCAGGATTTATAAGATAGAAAAAAAATTTTTTATTACCTACAATAAATTCATCAAAGAACAATTCGTTTTTGTCTCTTTTTTTCGTTTTTTGTTCGTTAAATATCTCTGAACAACAGAGAACAATAATTAGCAACATATACATGTAGATACTCAAATATAAAAACATAATCAAAGTTTATGCCCGTTTCTTTTTCTTCTTCTTCTTTTTTTTTTTTTTTTTTTTTTGCTTAATTTATATTCAAGTTATTTCTCCTTTACCATCATTGCTGAATTATCCACATTCAATCTTAAAACAAATTATGTCTTATAAGGAAACAATCAGTATGATATCAATCAAATCAATATCTCACCTTTAATAGAAATGGCAACCCCCGTGCCAATTTCCGAAGACAGTATAAAATTTTACTCATCTTTATTCTAAATAATTAAAATTGTGCAAATGACTGAATTGTCATGAAAGACCCGGTATGGAATGTTTACATTTATTCCAAAAATTTGGAGAAAATATCGACGTAAGTGATAACGAAATGTAGAATTGATTTACTTCTTAAGAATTAGTTTAAAACTTTCACCTAATCTAGCATATATTTAAAAAAAAAACATTCTGTGGTTTTTAACAAATGATATATTGACATATTTATTTTCAAATTACTGGGAATTTCTTTTGTTAAAAAAGATCGCATTTTATGAGAGATCGGAATGAAAAAATTAATCAAAAATAATAGGAATCGTCAAATTTGTTAAAATAAATTTAATTTCTTTTAACTAAGTTTTGAATTCATTATAAGAATTTGTTTAAGATTTAAAAAAAAAATTAATAATAAACTAATGAACTCCTTAGCAAAATAATAATTTGTTATAATAATAAATTTAGAACATTGATATTTTTGATTATTAACTTTGTTCTTGCAGAATTTGAATTTGGAAGCACTCTCTGAAAAGATAAATGTTTTAAAAAATTTCATATACAATTTTTATTATTTGAAACAATGAATTCTGAAAATGGATTGCTCTTTTTAAATAATTTAAAATTCCATATAATAAATTTAAGATAAGAAAGAAAATCAAGTTTGGTTTAACAAACTCAATGGTGTCGTTAAAACAAAATACAAAAAATATGTAATTACGAATTAATACTGCACTGAAGAATTTGAGAATCTGTTACATACAATTCAAAATAAATAAATAAAATGAAACAAATAAATTAAAAAAAAATTAAAATAAAATACATCAATAAATAAAAAAAAATAAGTAGTTTTAGCTGGGCTTACGTACAAATTTTATTAATATCAGAAATTATCAGGTATCAGGTGATGATTATATCTAAACCTTGAATGAGTTTCTTCTTTCTTATATGCAGGAAAAAATTGGCTTTATGATTGTTATTTTACATTATTTTTTCAATTCTAGTTTGAAAGTTTTAATATGAAAGAAATATGAAATAATAAAATTCCCCCCAAATCACTTTTTTGTCCATATAAGTCAATTCTCTAAATCTCAGCCAAAAAAGAATTATACAAGTATTCATAAAAAAGAATGGGAGTCTTTAAAGTAGAATTGTGAAGCAAAAATTACATCAGAACTTGTTCCGTTGTTTCAGTGAAATTGAGGTGGGTTTGCTTGAATTTTATAACAATATTTCAGTGTGTTTATGTTTTACGTTCATAAGAAAAATCAATGAAAAGATAAAAATACATCTGAATTGATAAAACTGAAAAAGAAAAGGGTTTAATAATAAAACTGTCAATAATTTAGTGTTAAATTTTTCAAATAGATCAATATTAATTAAAGAATATTTCTTAGCATGGATAGCATTCTTTTCATCATATAAATTGAATTTAAAAAAATAAATAAATGTGTTGCACTCATGAGCATAGAAATATAGATCTGAAACACAGACCTTTAATTGATAAATCTAGCTGGTAAAATAGTTCGTTGTTACTTTATTTCCCAAAATAAAAATCAGTGAATCATATACTGATAAAAGTTTTTTCATGCTGGGGAGCAAATCTTCAAATGTTGCACTCCAGACATGATTGAGTATGCACAGATAATTGACTCTCATAAATGATTTATATAACATTTTAAAGTTTAAATTGTATATCAGTTATTGTCCCCCGCTTTCACTCAAAGTGGGGGATATTAATTTGGGTCTGTCTGTCCGTCCGTCCGTATTTCTGTCTGTCTGTAACACTTTCGTCTTTGAGCTTTCGCAATGAAATTTTGCATAGCAACTCCCTATGGCCTAAAGAAGAACCCTATTTATTTTGAGGTCAAAAGGTAATAAATTCTGTCTGTTTTAACGCTTTCGTTTCCGCGCGATATCTCGCGAATTCTTCGAGCTTTTGCAATGAAATTTTACATAACAACTCCCTGTGGCCTTAGGAAGACCCTATTAATTTTGAGGTCAAAAGGTCAAAGTTCAAGGTCGTAAATTCATAAATTCCGTCTGTGTGTAACACTTTCGTTTCCGGGCGATATCTCAAGAAGATTTTGAGCTTTTGCAATGAAATTTTATAGCATAACTCCCTATGGCCTCTCTTGCCCCTCTCAAAGTGTCCCGCCCCGTTTTTTTTTTTTTTAAATATTTATTTATTGTATTAAAAGTCGCTTGGCACTATTTTTAGCACAGGGGCATGTCGAGATCTAGTTATTACGTATAATACAAGTTGTCGGCGGACTTTATATTCTAATTACATCTATTAGAACTGTTTAGTAAAGGCTAAATTAGACAACATTTATTGTATAAAATTTTGACAATATCAAACGTGAATATAAACATTATATGTGACTTAATGTTTGCATTTAATTTGCTCATTAATCAAGTGCCTCCGTCGTCTAGTGGTATGTTGCTCGTTTAGCAAGCGAGAGGTCCGGGTTCAATTCCCGGACTATTCTCTCTCTTTTTTTCATTTTTTTTTTTTTGATTTACTAAATGATACTATTCACTTGTGAAATGAAAAAGTTATGATGTCTGGCGTGTACAAACTCATAAAATCATTATTACAGTGTGATAAATATTCTGTATATAGTATATTAAAAAGAATCTTCTATACACATATTAAAGAATAAGCAATCAAATCTTTATATCCATATTGGCTTTTTTTTTAATTTGCTACAATATAAATGTATTCATTTAATAATTCTACAAATACAGGGGCCAGTGTGACCCCCTCCCCCTGAACTGGGCATGCCCTTCTTTTTTTCCCAAAGCGGGGGACACAAATTCTCTGAATTAGCTTGTTGTTTTACAATTTGAAAATTATCGTCTTTCAGATTTTTAAAATCATTTAACCATTTTTATTTATTTTACGTATCTTCAAAAAATATTGAATTTTCAAAATGTCACAAAAAGGTGTTGCACTCCTGACATTTTTAGCATCATTTTTGGACATAACGTTTTTGTGAATTGAGATATCAATGAGATACTTGGCAGGTATTAGACACTATCTAAAGTCAAATGCTGAGACATAGACATTTATTCCCACTGCCTGTATTTTTAGTGCAGGTTGATAATTATGTGTTTGGTCATTTTTTTTTTAATTCACCCTTTACACTTGCATTCATAATGGAATAAAATATATACGTGAAATAAAATTATTTATTATTTATTTGTCATTATACTACAGGATTTTTGCATCCCTAATATGAACACAGGCACGCGCCCTGTATTACACACCCTGTATCAGCACCCTTTATTTCACCCTTTATCACACCCTTTATTACACCTTTCTGGAACATCTCTGTATTTTTCATTCGGAGTACCTCGGATCTTTTCCTCTGTCTTTCCAAAGTTTATTCAAATTGTAATTTTATTTCATCAGACATTTTATGTTATTCAAAATAATTATTTGTTTGATTTATAATAATTTCATTTCTTATCGCTGAATGCATTTATTTGCCTTTAAAAAAGATTGAGAAACGGAAATTCAACAAAAACAGATTCAATTATTAAAAATTCAGTAATAAATTTACAAGTTTATATATGATTTTTAGACACTATTTTCAATATATAATAAAACTATTTTCAATATATAATAAAAACAACAATACAAGACAAAATCTGTATCACACCCCATATCAACCCTCGACCAATATCAGCCCTCTGGCCTTCGGCCCTCGGGCTGATATTGGAGTCTCGGGTTGATATGGGGTGTGATACAGATTTTGCCATGTATTATTCTCTATATATTTTTTCTGAGAAAGAGCACCATGCAGTAGTAAAATAAAATCAGATTGAATTATATTTGTCTTTACATCTACTCTTTTCTTTAATTTTCCTTTTTCTTTAGTAAGGAAAATAAGGGACCAGGCAATATTTATCATCAGGGTGTCATCAGTGCCTGTTAACATAACAAAGTGCATGCAATAATTTATAAATGCATCCATTGATAATAAAATGATACTGGCATAATGCCAAATCCTTCCTTAAACCATTGCCTTCTTGTGCTTAAATTTTTGCCATCAATTGAAATTCCG